CCTGTACATAAACTGTCTCGTCTGTTAACTTAGAACACAACTCATGAAGCAACAGTTTCATTTTGGCAGACCGAAATGCATAGGCAAGTTATTTTGGACGACCGAAACTGAAGGGCCAAATGAATCGGACGAGCCGATTCTCACATAGTGTTTTGATCAAAGGAGGAAGGTATTTCGATCGACCAAAACACAATGGTGTTTCATTTCGGTCTACCGAAATAAAGAGTGTTAGCCAACCTTGAACCATTTCGGACGACCAAAACACAATGATGTTTCATTTCGGTCGACCGAACCAGCGCAGATTTGAATCTGAACTGTTATTTCTTCTCGGGCAATATAAATAGAGTAAGGGGATTTCAGGATTTGATGTTGCTACCATATAGAATCATCATATAGCATCCAAAGAGTTTTTGTTCTTCTATTCATACATCCCTTATCATTAGAAGAGTATTGTGCTTCATTGTATTCATAAATATACTTAAGAGTGAGCTAAACTTTGTACATCAAATATGTGAGAGATTATTGTGAGCTTTGATTTACATATCAATCTTTGAGAGATATATTTGTATGCAACAAATCTGATCTTCAATTTGTAAGGGATGGTGTGGCCCAAGGAAGAAGAAGCAAGCTAGCTTCATATTTGTAAAGGTTAGTGTAACCCAAAGGAAGAATAAGAGAAGTTGTCTCTTAGCAAGGAGAAGCAAGGAGTTACTTCTAATCAAGATTTGTTCTCCACCCGTAAGGAGGTGCACTAGAGGATTGGAAAGTCTCAAGAGGGGTCTTGAGCCGAGGAGTAGGAGTTTCCGAACCTCGCTAAAATCTTTCCCTTATCTCCTTTACATTTATGATATTAATTGTTTGTGTCTATATATTGATTATTGCATAAATGTTATAAAGTGTGTGTTAGAATTTGCAAAATAATCAAAACGAAAAATTATCCATTATTTGCCATAGATTCTATTCACCCCCCCCTCTAAAATTAATACTTGGGCAACAGCTTCTACAAATGGGTAAGGGCAAAATGGGGTGTCTACAGGCCTAGTAGGGTTATAAAACTGGCCTTTAGACTTTTGTGCTAAAAAATCTCTCAAATTCAAACTTAAAAAGTTATTAGAAGTTTGCAAAAACAAACTTTCTTTTTTGGTTCAGGGTAGTGCAACCAGTTCAACTTAGAGTGCAACAGGTTGGACTTTTCCAAAATGCAATTGTCTCCAAAGAGTGCAACCAGTTGGAGTGTTGAGAAACCTTAATCACACCATAAATAACTTAAAACACACTTTAAATGATCTTCACTTATATAACTTGACTATTTGTTATTAATTATCAAACTGAAGTTGGCGTGAGTAGCTTTACTTGATTTTTTTTGCTTCTGAAACCAAGACTCAAAAATTACTTCACCAAATGGGTGGAGGCAGAACCATACCCCTCCGTAACCCAAATTCAAGTAAGGGGTTTCATTTGGAACAACATAATATGTCGCTTCAGGATGCCAAGTTACATAGTTATGGATAATTAAAAGAACCTAAACAACAGACAAGTCAAACAACTCCTTGACGAGTGTGGGATCAATCAGAAACTGGCCACCGTAAGCCACCCATAGGGGAACGAACAAGTATAAATTACAAACAGAACAATATTCGATTGCATAAAGAAGAAACTAGAATACAAAAAAGCAAATTGGTTGGACGAGCTTCCGAATGTCTTATTGTTTTGGATTTTTAGGTTTGCTATCATAGAGTGAGGTAGGGGTGTAGTATTATAAACTAGATATTTCTACGTGTTTTGAGGTATAGTGTGTGTTGTACATGTGTTAAGAGAGTCGCGAGTGTTTTTTTATTTACAATTATTGATAACGTAGCTCCTAAATGATGTTATAAAGTCAACCATCGATTTGTATTATGTTTTGGATACTTACATCATATATAAATGATGATATTTGAGGTAATCATGATTTACTAATACGTGGTTACATATATTTGGCTTAAACGAAGTTTAAGCTTAAGTTTAAATTATTTTTGTGCTTACCTTGTTAGTAATGTGAATTTTATTTTGAGTGCATGATCATATGATTAAGATTGGTTGCCTACCATGTCTCACATTGACAAAATTATTCACATATGTAAATTTGAGTTATTCTTGAATATGGACCATCACATTTTGATGTCATTTATATTGATAATTATGTTATAATAGCATTGGATACTATAGAGCATGTAATGCATGAATATTAAGGTTTATGTGTGCTTGTGAAGTGCTTTTACTTGATCATAAATGTATGTGATACACTGTGGAAATGGTTAATTTTTTTTAAGAAATACTTGGGACCTTTTGATACTTGTGATTGCTAAAGCTTGGCGCTAGCAGGTGAAATCAGAGTTTCCTCAACTTTATAATGGCCATTAAATTTTTTCCCTACAATTTAACAGACTAAGATAACTATTTTACCAGCGCATGCAGTAGGTATGTCCAGGGGTGTGGGTGTATCCAAGTTATCCCCATTATATGATTTCAGGTCTTATTTTCCAAGTTGACATCCACATGTAGTTGCAACTTAGCGTATTTTGGCTTCATTGCATTTTCTTATATTTGTATGTACTTGAAATCGAATTGTCGTATTTAGTTCAATTGCTAGTTCTACATTGCTTCCTTTAGGAATGTCCCATACTTGTATAGCATATGTTATATTTGCAAGACCAAAGAAACCTAGTTCATTATTATAATGCCTTCCTACGGAGTAATTTAAGTTACTCACCTTCGTTGATTTCATATTTTCAAGTAAGGATATTCTTTATAAGGATGCACATCCACTATAGCTTGGATGTGCTTTGATTTTATTTTGAACTCTTTTTGGATGATATTTTCATGTTATGTATTAAGAATGTTCTTAATGTATTACTTTGGATATGTAATAATTTTGGATATATGTATTTTAGAGAAGGAAAATGGCTTAGGAACTCAATTCCATCTTTTGGAGTTCGCCAGTGATTTTCACTTTTTCTTGTGAGTTGTGTAGTACGGAATAGTTATGGAATATAATATGGATAGAGGGGGTGAATAGGTTCAACTTTATCTTTTATTCGATTTTTGCTTAAATTAAATTTACCGAAATAAACCTAAATTAAACAACTCACAAAGCAAAAATTAATGCAAGTAAAGTAAATAAAGTTTGAGAGATGATAGCAGAATTTTTACCGAGGAAACCCCGATTGGCAGAAGAGACCAATCATTACGGGAAAAACCTCTGGGACTATGCAGTCCAAAGCAAAACAATCCACTATGTTTAAAGCAAAGTACATTGAATTTTGACTCAGGCTCATACCATATGGTTCTACCAAAAATCAATCGTTGATAATATCTGACTTTACGACTCCCCCGTCGAACAGCTCTCGACCTCAGACTTATTTTTTATCTTTGTAGAAGAGTTGTAGGTAAATCAAACAACACTTAACGAATGTTTTGACCCCATTAAAGTATGATCGCTTTACCCCTTTTCATCAAATCTGAATTTGATGAAGAATGAATGAATTATGCTTTTCAGAATCTCTCAATCTTCAGTTATGCTCCAATTCTGATAATATAACACCCCTAATTTTAAAAGGATAATCTTAGTATTATTTTAAATATTTTAATTACATTTCTATTTATTTACTTTATTATTAGGCTATTTGATTATGTATTTAATTGAATTGGTTAATTAAATATTTTATTTGCTTAAATGTTTTATTTGACTTAACTGATTAATTGAAAGTATGTGTTTAAATGTTATTTGAATTAGTTTATTTAATTGATGTGTTTTGTTTATTTGTAAGTAATTGTAGATTAAATAATTAAATTTTTATTTTATTTTATTTTATGGATATGGTTATTAATAATGGATCAACCAATTGGGTCACATGGACTACTAGGATTGGAGGTTTAATGGGTAAGGATAATTACCCATGAATAGTTTTATATATATATAAGGAAAGTAATTATTAATTAATATTATTGTGACTTAGTATTAATAATCTGATATATATATTTTTATATTTATATAATAAGGATATGCATGAATCATATACGTAACATATTTTTAGTTACTCGTGGATAGTTATATATATATATATATATATATATATATATTGAAAGTAATTAATTAATTAATATTATTGTAACTTAGTATTAATAATATGATGTATATATTTTATATATTTGTGTAATAAGGATATACATAGATTATGTACATAATATATTTTTAATTACCTTTTTAATATTTTAATTTTATTATTTTCTTTTATTAAGTTGACTTGGATTGAGAAAAGGATTAGGTTATTTTATATAACCTATAAATATATAAATATAGGTTAGTAAAAGGGGCTAAAAATTAAATCACGTATTATATTTTGGAGGAAAAAAATAGTTAGTTTAGAGAGAGAAATAAGGAAGGAAAAAAAGAAAAAGAAGAAGAAGGAAGCTAGGATTTTGATAGGCAAGTTCTTTTCTTCTTTTCCCGTGATTCATATTCTGTATAGACTTAGATTAATTTCAAGATATTTAATTTAATTAATTGAACCTATTTGCATGATAAACTCTGAAATTATAGTATATATAATTTAGTAATGAGTTTTGTATACTGTTTGTGTATATATATTGTTTAATCTATTTTAATTATTTTTAAATTGTTAAATTAGATTATGAAATATTTAAAAAATATGATTTAAGTACACATGTTTATATAAAATTTAATTAATTTAAAAGGTTAAATTAATTAAATATGGTTAGATTAAATTATTTTAGGGTTAACTTTACACCTCCTGAGGTATGTCTAAACTTTAAGGAGACCCCCCACATTTGCAAAAATTCAGTCAAATTCCTTACTTTTTCTAACACACATCAGTCACCCCACTCAGTTAACGGTTAAAGCTAGTCAGAGTTACATTTTGCCGACATCAGCAAAAAAAAATTAAATTTTAATACCCAAATTACCCCTCAACGGTTATGTTTGGCTACATACTGTCAATCTAATCAAACACTCTCCTGAAAACACTCAATGTCTCTCTCTGCAAACCCATTTCTCTCTCTAAACTTTGTCTCTCTGCAAACCCATTTTCTTGGTCTAATATTCTCTCCAATGGCTGAGGTGGCTCGACCGGTTTTCTGCAAGCTCGCGTCTCAAAAACCAGCGGTTCCTGTTCCGGTTCAGAGGGTGAAGAACTCCAATGTGTCGTCGGCATCATTGACGGGGACGGATAAGGTGAAAATCGTGCTACAGCCTCGTCTATGCACGCTCAGATTGTACGGTTATGATCAGGTGGGGATGATGATGAAGCTGCAGAGGGAGGGTGGTGATGGTGTTGATGATGAGGGCGGTGATGGGTGTCGTCGTCGCCGTTCTTTGCGACTCTAGATTCAAGAAGAGTCAGGACTTTGAGATCAAGTCACTGAAATAACGGGTTACTGCCCAACGAACGGTCTGAATCTGATGCCGTGTTGATTGTCTGCGCATTTTCCACTTGTGGAATGTCTCTTAGAGTCACTACCTTGCTTCTCTGTAATGATTATTTGTGTTTTTTGAAAATTATAATATATTTTCTGCTTAGTTTGTTAGAAACTAAACTTGTCATGGTGACCATTACTATAATCATTGAATTATTGGTTTGTTTATTTCTTTAATCCATATGCAATGATGATGAAGTTGCTAAATTATGTCTGGACATATGACTATTGTCTGTCATTAATGCCTCTTCTGAGCAGAATAATTCATTCATTATCTTTGTTTAATATATTGTCTGGCATTTTTCTGTTTTTTCCTTTATCCTGAACTTGAATAATTTGAGGTTTTTCAATTTTTTAGATTTAAAGATTTTTGTCACTTTGAAAACTTCAAAATCAATATCTCGGTGATTTTGTTTTATTAAAAATTATTCTAGTTTCTTTATAGCTACTTCCTGGTTGTAAACACACACGTACACAATTTTACAGATTCGATTAGAATGTTATGAATTTTAGGAGTGCTGCAACATTTTATAAATTGTGAAGCTTGTTGAAAACGAAGCAAAAAATTTCCCCTGAAATGACGGCTACTGCCCAACGAGCACAATGGATGACGGCGGTGAGCTGGAACCGGTTGTGATGGAGGTGCTCGTCGACGACGAGCTTTCCGGCGAGCCATGCAAACCCAGTTTTTTTGTAACTACTAAGATATGAGGGATGAGAGAGATTGACTGTTTGGTTCAAGAGATAAAGCTAACCTAGAGTTATAAAACATGTTTGGTTCAAGAGATTGATTGTTTGGTCTATTATATATAGGAAAGCGATAAAAGGGTAATTTAGTCATTTCATTCTTTTATTTGTTTTTGTTCGTAGACAATGTCTGACAGGGGGTTTGACTGAATTTTTGTAAATGTGGGGGGGTCTCCTTGAAGTTTGGACATACCTCATGGGGTGTAACTGAAGTTAACCCATTATTTTAATCAATTATTTGGTTTTAAATAAAGTTGATCAGATTGTGGAGGAGTATAATTATTTGAGATGCATGTTAATTTTTATGAGATAAACTCAATGCGTGTTACTTAAAATTGTTATATTTTACTCAATTAAATGCAAAGAAATATTTATATGATTTATATCATGCTATGTATGAATTTATTTGATATGATATCATAACTGTAACATCATTTATAGATTGTATGTATTATATGCACCAGTATGGGATAATGACATATTAGGGACGGATTAACTATAAGTCCTACATATTCATTTATAACGGAATGGATTAACTAAAATGTTAAATCCTACATATTTTCATATCAGGTCAACTGAATCAGTTGGATGACATACCAGATATTTATTTTATGTTTGGATATAACGGATTATATATATATAGTTATTTACCGTGATATGAGTTTGAGTCTCAGATCATGGTTAGGGTGCGTATATTGTCAGGGATGTGTGACTAGATATAGTGTAGTTGTGTACCCTGGTAGGTCTAGGTACTCATGCCCACAATGTGTGCGTTTTGTATGTTGCCTACTATTCAGGTTGAGACAACCCTATAGTCCACTAAGGTTCCTTTAGTGTGTATCTATATATATATATGGACTATGTAGTTATTGTTGAATTGACTAGCATGCATATGGGTTCTGAGTCTCTGTTTGGGATGGAGTAGATTAGAACTTGTTTGTGGGCCTGACTCACCATAATTTTTCAGGTGTTCGTCAGTTCCAAGCTTAGGGATTGTTCGTACTGAGTAGAGACGATTTATTCACTCCTCCATTTTAACGTAGGATTTCCTTATTATTGTTTTAGTCAAATGTTATTTTATTTCAGTTGGATTTTAGATTAGAGGTCCATATGATGGATTTTCAAGTTGTAATTTTAATTAATTACTGGTATAAGAAGATTTTGTTATTTAAGGTTTATTATTGGATTAATTAATGAGGATTTATTATTTAGTATTCTTTCAACTTTATTATTTATTCTTATTTCATTTTGTATCCTGTATTTATTTAAATACTTTAATTGTTTGATATTTCCTCGGGTTTGGACTTGGGCCTGATCAACCCATGTCTCGGAATCGAGGGGTATCACAGATAACATAGAGAACAATACTCCTAAATCACTCTTGTGTTTATGTGTGTGCTCTAAAAAATAAAATCAGAAAAATCAGATTGATTTTCTGAATAAAAATCTCACAAAGATGGCTTTCAATTAAATCAGAATTTTGTATGCAAAAAACCGTGAAATCCTAAGTGAGAAAACACGTTTTCATAGACTTTTGAAAACCAAATTGTACTTGGAAAACAAGTCAATTTCGTGCATAATTAATATGATAAAAGTTTATGTACAACAGGAAGCCAAAACAAATTAGGAAACTAAGTTACTAAAACTGTCTAAAGACTTTGAACTGATTCAGAGTGGTTGAACCGGTTCAAGTTGGCTAGTGAGTTTTTGAGACGTGAACTAGTTCAGTGTGGTGAACCGGTTCAAGTTGGCTAGACTTGAAAAACACCAATTTTGAAACTCCAAAGTGTCCTCACACACTCTCTTACCTTCTAAAAACATTGTTCTCATCATCCTGGAGTGTATTGAAGTACGAACACAATCACTTCTTCAATTCCGCTTCCGATCTTGATTCTTGACAAATCGAACTAAAAATTTACAACTCAATCGAAATGTTTTGACAATGAAATATGTTAATTACAAATTTATATCTCACATTCTCCCCTTTTGGTAATTTCGTAACAAAACCCCTAAGACAACAAGTAATTTACCCAAGGATCAGGATCACTTCTAGTTGCATAGTGCATCCATTTTCTCTAATTAGAATAAGTGGCTGAGAAAGTGCCACATCAATTAAAAAAATTGGGTAGCTAATTTTTTACCACCCTTGTATTCTAACTTTAAATATATATAAAAGCTTTAAATGTTGATTCGAACTTTAAATATTATTTGCAAAATACGCACTGGTGGGAGAGAAGAGACAGTTGTCTTCCTTTCTCTCTTTAAAAGCTTCCATTAATGGACTCTCCAAAGACTTACAACAAATTTTGAACTTCAAAGCTTCACTTCAAAACCCAAACACACTCCAAAACTGGCTTTCCAACAACAACCCATGTAATTTCACTCGAGTATTATGCAGAAATTGTTTATCTAAATCTCAATTTTGGGTCTGTTTCTTCTTATCTAATTACTCTTCCCAATTTAGTGTTTATCCGATTAAAGTGAATGATGCGACTGAGCATGTGCACAAAATAATGCACATCACTTTAGGTTTAGAAATAATGTCAAGTGGGCATCATATTTTATAATTTATAAAATCACTAAACACTTATACTATGGAGTATGAAGTGAAAATGGATCGTTCCAAGAGATCTAAACAATTATTGGTTTTCGGAATTGAATTTTACTTTAGTGCTTATGTGATTGCTAAAAAGGGTTTTGTTTGTGATGAAAACTAATTTTAAACTAAATGATTACAATAAAGAAATAGAGTTTAAGATATTGGAAAGAGACTTAGGGTTTAAGATTCACCACTAAGCACATTCCCTAACTTACTAATTTTCAACTACTTGGGAAAATAATATTATGTAATCTATATGTGGCTAACAATTGCAATGAAAAATGTAAACCATCAATTTCAAGTATGAATTAACTACCTAATGACAATTAAACTAAGTGTAGTGCAATTCACCAATTCAAAGCATGATTCATCAATTCAAGTTACAAATTTAATACACATGAATCTAGAGGATATGTAATTGTAACAATAAGTATGGATTTCAAACAATTGTATGGATTGTCTACTTACCTAATAATTAAATTGCAATTAACTAATTTACCTTAAATTAAACTAACCAAAATTGAAATTAAAATATTTAAACTAGACATTAACCTAATTGTGTAGTACAACCCATCTAATATAAGCAATTTCCATCAAATTAGAACATAATTACATCAAATTAATACAATGCATAGCCATCATATGATTCAATTCACAAAGAAATCAAGTGTAAAGATTAATTATCATTCAAAAACATATAAGACAATAAGAGATTGATAAAGATAATCAATTGAAAGAATTATTATATATATATATCAAGGCTATAACAAAAATTACATAAATTAAATCCCCAAAATAGTAAAAGAGAGAAAAAGTTAGGTTACATGCTTAGGGTTTATCCAACCCTAAGTTGAAGAATTAACCGCTCATGGTTGATAGATGCAAGATGTCAACAAGCCCCATCCTTTGATTCATCTGGCTCCTCTTCTTCTTCTCTGAATTTTTCTCAAGAACCCTAGCTTTTTCTCCTTTTTCGTGTTTCCCAGAAAGAACGTGATATTTCGATTACAGAAAATAAAAACTTAATAATAATATAAATAACTCCCCTAACTAATGGGTATTGGTTTCCTTAAGTATAAGCCTTATTGGAGACCAATAAGTTACAAAATAAGCCCAAAATAAGAAAATCTCATAGCCAAGTAAACATAAATCATGCAATGCTGCCAGGGGCTAGGGGATTGATCCCCCAAGGGCATTTTTAGTTCTATGAATAGTGGGAGGATCGATCCCCTAGAGTTGGAATTTTCTTTTACATCATATTTAGCTCCATTTTGGCCTCGGGCTAATTGGTTGGCTTCTTCATCTTTGGGAATATCATCAAAGGTCCGAAAAAGGTAGAATTGATCGCTTTTGAAGAATAAGCACACTATACGAACAATGGGCTGCGACCTCTTTTTGCCATTTTCTGAACTTTTTTCAAATATCTTTGCTTATCTCCAAAAAGGCTTTAATGAATTGAAATTAGTCCGTTTGAACCATATTGACCTGAAATTGACAAAAACATAAATTAGAACTAAAATATGAAAATAAGATAGATGCACGGACTAAAATACCCTAGTTTAGGTGCTGAAATGTGCAACATTTAAGCACTTATCAGTGAATGACTATCATCCAGTAGGATTATGTTGGGAAGTTAAGTACAAACTTAAATTACAAATTGGAATGTTATGTATTAGAGTTAATGACTATCATCTAGTAGGATTATGTTGAGATGTTACGTACAACTTATATTGATTTAAATTACAAACTGTTGGGATGTTATGTACAAATAGGGTTGCAACTCCGGCGGGTTGGGCGGGCTTGACACTCATCCTGGGTTAGGCCCATCTAGAAAATCTTCAGCCTAAGCCCAAGCCCAGCC